ACCGATCCACGCGCCGATGCCGCGCGCTGCGGGTGCTCACTGCCCTGCGCCCCGCCGCCTGGTGAAGGCCGGATTTGACAGCCGGAAGTGCCCGAAGAGATCACACAGGGCGGCACGGGGGAAACTGAGGCCGAGCGGAGCACTCGGGCGCCTCCTGCCTTCCTGCCCCGAGCCTACCCGGCTCTTTGATGAATGAGGGTGCTGGCCGGGCCGCGGGAGAACTGCACTTTCCCCGGCCCCTCGCGCCCTCTCTAGGCGCGCACTGGTGAGCAAGGCCTCCAGGCACCACCCCTCCTCCGCCCTCCCTGGCCCTGCAGCCCCTGGCGCAGGGTTGGCTCTAAACTCAGTCCTAGAGGCTTTGGGGAGCTTGAGAAAATCCCATGCCACCCTTGTTACGTCGCGCAAGGGGTCTACAGGAAGGAGGCAGATCAGTGCTGCTGACTTTGGAACGGAATTTACAGCTGGGTGCCCTGAGGCAGGGGACGATGAAGTGAATTCCCCAGGGCTACGCAGCTAGGACAGAGGAGAGGATAAGGACAGGACGGAGGTCTCAGTAGAGCCTGGTCCAGCGTGAGGCGGACTTGACCTTTACGGTGTCCTTTCTTCTACCCTTCCCTGGGGTCACCCAGCAAGTTGGCAGAGCTGAGCTAGAATGCGGTCTTGGGCTAGACTCGAGGCTACTGCCCACCTCAAAGGAGGGAACGTTTTGGTCCTCTTTTTAAAAAATTAGTGGTCTTTACCCTGCAGAAATTATGAGACTCCTTTGAGTTTCAGGAGTACCCATTCATTCATTCATTCATTCACCAAATATTTATTGAGCACCTACTGTGTGCCCGTGTGTGTGCATGGCTTAGGCACTGAGAATACAACAGTGAATGGTCCTGTCCTCAGGTGTAGACTCCAGAGAGTGGATGAAACACTCTGGGTGTGAGAAGGCTGGGAGACCCTTGGAATCTTCCCAGCCACTGGCAATATAAAGAGGGCAGGAGATCAGACCTCCCTCCCACAGTGATGTTAGAACAGCACCAAGGCCTCTGAGCGTTTGCCTTCATGGGCCCCTGCTTCTGCCAGACTGAGCTTTTCCACTTCCCGAAGACTGGGGAGCAAAGAGTGGCCCATGGGGAGCCATAAACTACCCTCTATGCCTGGAGACTGGGCTGGAAAGTATGGCCACTTCCTGTCTGTGTACAGCTACTTCCTGGCTGTGTATGGCTACTTCCTGGCTGTGTGACTTTGGTATCTCCCTTTATCTCTCTGGGCCTCATTTCTTTATTATACCACAGGGTTCACAATACCTCATAGAACTGATGAGACTGTCATTGCAGGGCATGGCCTGTATCAGGGGCTCTGCCATACCCGATGTAAACAAAGATAAATTTCTTTTATTTTTTTCTACCACTCCTGCCTCCTTTGGTGCCAGAAGTGCTAGGGCCTTGTGCATGCTAACTAAGTAGGCCCTCTACCGCTGAACTATGCCTCCAGTCCAAACAAGGCTGTATTTCTTTAGAGGCTCTAGTGACTCCATAACCTATTTCTACTCCCAGTAAAGAAATGTTAGAGGCAGAAAGAGGGGTGGCTGAGTTCCAAGAAAGGAGGCTGAGGCTTCTTTCTGGCCCCAGTCACACAATAGGCACCTCATGGTCAGCGTTTCAGCTTTTACCTCTCAGGCTCATTCAGCATCTGACCGGTGGGCCCCTAGCTCAGTGACTTCTAAAAGACTGGTCTTCTGACTTTTGAATTGCCTCAGTCTCCTTAAATGTAAAATTCCTACCCCCAAGGTTCTCATTTGTAAATGACGGGCTGATTAGGTTGTCATAGCTCGGCCTGTGGTCTCCGTGAAAGTTGGGGCCTGAAGAATTTCTTGTAAATGTGAAACCATCTCTCCCTACCTGAGTCCCGTGAAGCTACAAGGCCTGGGCCAGTCCCCAGGATCGACACATCTGGGCCCGAGGAAGGTCCTTAGATTTATTACCGAGGCCACTCGTATACCCTCTGTGCTTTGTAAATACTGCTACATGTTATAAACTGGGCTGCAGATGAGGAGTGTCAGGGGGACCTTGCTCCCTTGCATGCATTACAGGGAAGAAAGGGGCTAGAAAGGGGACTCTAATCCACTTTTCACTTAGCTGTCCCCACTTGGCAGCTGTCTGTCCAGTTGTACCACCCTCTGCCTAAAACTCCTTGTGGCTCCCTGTTTTCTTAGGGTGAAGAACAACCTTTCATGTGGACCACAGGGCCCTGCACCTGCGCCTGGTCTAGGCCTCTGACCCATTTCAGAAACTGTGTCAGTAGTCCGCTGTGCCCAGGTACGTCACTACACTTCCCGAGGGCCTTTGTACGTGTCCCTGCCGCCTCCACCACCACTGCCCCTCTTTCCTTTAGACGCCTCCTCATTCCTCAGAGATTATCTTAACCCAGATTTACATTCCTACCAGAGCAAGCCACAAGTCAATGGGTCTCTCTAGGTTGGAGGTTAAGCCCAGAGTGGAATTATGCATTTGTGGCTGCGATTTGTTTGCTTGCTTGCTTTTGGCGTTGGGGATCTGATCTCAGGGTCTCCCTAGGCTAGGCAAGTGCTTTACCACTGAGCTACATCCCTGCCTTCTTGCTGGGATTAAGGTCCTCCTGGACCCTGAACACCATCCCATAACTTCTTGTGGTAAGCCTTCCATAATCTACCTGTGGTAAGCCGGGCATGGTGGTGCATCCCTGTAATCCCAGCACTCAGGAGGCTGAGGCAGGAGGATCGCTGTGAGTTCGAGACCAGCCTGGGCTACATAGTGAGTTCCAGGTCAGTCTCAACTACATAGTGAGACCCTGTCTCAAAGAGAAAAAGAAATCTACCTGTGGTGAATACCTCTTGAGCAAATTGGAGCTTCTGTCTTGTAAAACTGTATTGTCCCTCAGAAGTATATACCGAAGTCATTTCTGAGTTGTGGACGCAGGTGTTCATTCATTCATCACATAGGGACTGAGCACCTTCTCTGCCAGGTGCTCTCCTGGGTACCTCGGGAAACAGGACTCAGAAGCTGCCGCCCTCAGGGAGCTTTCTGCAGCCAGGGAGTCAAATCATTACAGGCAGAACCCGCACCGATTCGATAAAGCCAACACATTCACAGTGTGGGATGGGGGATGGCCGTTTGAGACCTCCGGTGCAGAAGCACTGTGTCCCCCCTCAGCCTGGCCCTGTGGCTGGAGAGGCAGGCACGTAAGCCATGGGCCATTTTACCAGGAAGTACGGTGGCCCAGACGGCACCCGTGGGGCTGCAGAGGCTGCAGGTCCCATGTTAGCTCGACAAACCCAGGAAAACGTGTCCCAGTTCCTAACCTCATTAGTGAAGTGGAGAAGGAACTTAGGGCTTGAAGTCACACTGGCCTGGGAGGACGCAGTGGGACTGCCACTGGCCAGCTGTGTGACTCCATTTCGACGAACTTCAGTTTTCTCATCAGTAAAAGGGGGACAGTAATTGTCTCTGCCTCCTAAGGCTGCTGTGAGGCTGAAAGGGGGATGCTGAGCGTAGGTCCCAGGAGATCTTAGCGGGCTTTGCCATCACACAATGATTTTGAAAGGGGACAGTCTTGGGCGCGGGGATTCAGGTGAGAAGAATCGCAGGCCCGTGGTGGGGATCGTTTCCCTGAAGTTCTGTGCTTTACTTCAGCTGAGGTCAGCTGGGAGGGGAGGAGAGTCAAGTAGGAAAGGTTTCCAGGCCCATGGGGCAGCACTGGAGCTGGCTAAGAAGACAGCTGTTAGCCTCTGGAAAGCTGGACAGAGTCGTCAAATCAGATGGTTTCTGAATTCTGTTTGAAATCGTTTGGGCCACCTCAGGGTCTAAACTTGACCGGAGAGAAGTGAAATAGCATCATCGTTAAGGCAGCTTCCTCAAGCTAAGACCCGGGTGAGAGTTTAAACACTGTTATTTTCTGGTGATCCTGACCCAGACTTGTCAGGGCCTTCCTGTCCCCACCTGTATAATGGAGACGACAGCAGCTGCCTGGGATCGTTGGGAACAGAGCAGATGGGATGTGCGCACGGGCTGTGTGTGGCTAACAGTTTTTGAAAGATAAACTTAACTGCTGTAAAATATACGTCACACAGTTCACCATCTTACTTTGACGTGCACGTGCAGCGTCTGTAACGATAGCATATTTGCATCATGGCACAGCAGGCCCCAGAACATTTCGGCCGGTACATCTGGAACCTACCGAACAACAGCTCCCCGTTTCCCTTCCCCCAGACCCCAGTAGCCACCTGGTTCCCTCCTGTCCATAGCTTTTGACTACTCCAGATACCAACAGTGCGGTATTTATCTTTTCCGACTGGCCCGTTTCAGTGCCTTCAAGATTCAGGCGCATTACACGTCAGAAGGTCCTTCCCTCGGTAAGGCCGATTGTGTTCTGTTGCATGTCTACCCTGCATTCCGTTTACCTATTCATCTGGTCAAAGGCATCTGAGCCGCCCCCAGCTCTTGGCCGTGGTAAAATACCGCCAGGGACGCGGGTACGGTATGTATCTGACACCCTGCTCTCAGTTCCCGCGGAGGTATTGCTGGGTCATCTTACTGTCATAGTTTGAAGGTGGACCGAGAGGGCTCCCACTGTCTCCTCTTGCCCACCAGGGTAAGAGACGACCCCAGGGCCCCAAAGAACAGAGTGAAAACCAGTAGGTCCCTGGGTGCGCTGACTCACACCTGTAATCTCAGCTACTCGGGAGGCTGTAAGTTTGGGTCCTGCCTGAGCAACTTAGCGAGACCTTGTTTAAAAAAAAAAAAAAAAAGACGTGGGGAAGTAGCTTAGTGGTAAAACAGCCCTGAGTTCATTTCCCAGTACTGAAGAAAAAAGAGAGTAAACTAGTGAGTGAAATGAACCATCACCAGGTTCTTCACCGCCCCCGTCCTTCCCCGGCAGATTTGCCCTCTTGGACTCTTCTCCGGGTATCCCAAGTGGAAACCACTGTCCATTTCAGCGGATGTTCCTAAGTGCATCCTGTGCTGGCAGGTGGGCAGAGGCAGAAGCGATACTCACGAAGCTGTGAACGGCTTAGTGCGGCAGAGCATGAAGGGCGCTGTGGACAAAGCAGAGATGCAAGGGGAGAGAGGGGACAGGAGCCTGGACCTGTGGGAGGTGTGTGGTTTAAGCAAGGACAGGAAGCAGGTGGGGGTCTGTCCTGTGGGCATGGGGAGGAGCGTTCCGGCGGAGAGGACAGCCAGGGAAAGGTCAGTGACCAGGAAGGACAGTGTGTCTGGAGCAGAATGCGTGGGGTGGAGAGAGGGCTGGAGCGGCCACCAGCTTAGCTGGTACACGGCCCACCGCCTTCACAAGGGGCTCGGCTGGCTGGGAGGCGAGTGCTGGGAGGGTTTAGAACAGACACGGGCACAGTGGAACTGTTCGAGGGGCACTGTCTGGGCATGGCATGCTCATCGGCAAGGGGTAGAAGCGTACGGGCAGACTTTTAGCCCACAGGGTGGCAGCGCTGAGGGGTGTAGCAAGATCGGGCCAAGAAGAACGGAGAACACACCTAGAGGTTGGAGGCAAGTGGACTACGCCAGTGGACCGATCGGGGATTTCTCCACAGAGTGACCAGCCTGGAGCTGGTGGTGAACAGGGTTTGCATGGGTTAGGGGAAGACGAGGCGGGGATACGGAAGCGAGGCGTTCATCATCAGCTCAAGGCATTTAGGAAGTTGCATTTAGTTTACAGGATTTGATAGAAAAACACTGGACACAGACGCTTCCCAGGGACAAAGGACAATGAAAGAGGACGAGAGTTGGGTGTGGGAGGGTGTGAGCGGCGCCTCAGTCGGGTCAGCTAGCCTCAGGGCAGTCAGGCCCAGAAGCACAAGGAAGCAGAGGACTGGTGAGGAGGCCCCTCGCTGTGATCCTTGGGAGAGGCCAGTGGCTCGTGCCAGGGTGCCAGTAGGGAGGAAAGGAGCACCAGTAAATACAGACCCACGTCACGGCCTGGGTGTCTGCCTGATGGCAGCAGACTGTCACCATGCCCTGTCCTGCCTGCCGTCACAGTAGCTGAAGTAAGGTGGCAACTTTTCTTCTGGGCCAACGTCTCTTTTTCCTCCTGGTGTGGAATGTGGTTTTCAAAGCCCTCCGAGCTCTTTGGTGCTGGAACTGTTGTCATGGCGACCTCCCGAGGCGCATCATTTCCCTCTGACTTACAGATAGAGCTATAGAAGGAAAGGAGTTCTCTCCTGAATGCTCAGGCAGGGGAGGTGGTGAACCAGAAGCATCTCGAGATTGTCTCTGTGTGTGGGGGGGGGTTTGCCTTTCAACTGCAATCTTTAGTTCCTGGCCTAGGACAGCTCTGTAGCTATCTCTCTATTAATTACTGACTGCACTGCAGAATTGTGTGAAAATTCAGCTGTGGCCAGAAAGGGGCGAGAAAGAGACCCTCACCCACGTACTCACACACAGACACATTCCCATGGAGTTTGACCTTGACCGGCACTGACTGCGCCAAAGGGAGAAAAAGGCCACAGCTGGAAAAACAGAAGTTCTGTCTTGCATGTGATCTTCCAAAGGCCTGGCTCGTGCAGTTTTAAGGACAATTTAAAGGCTGTTCTGGGGTGATTCTGAGCGTACTTGATTTCCCCCTCTTTTTGGCCGGTGTTGGAATTTTGCACAGCCCAAGAAGAAACCCCACTCCATTGCTTGTGGTATCGATCAACAGAATTTTCCCTGAACGCTCACAAAGGGGACCCCGTGACTAACAAAGATGACTTGCTCAACATTTGCTTTGGCGACAGATAGTGAAGCTGGTTAGACAGAAGTCGCAGTCACAGAGCCACAGAACGAGGTCCCATTCCACAGTAACCCTGTGTATCCCGAGAGTGGGCTGTGTGGTCCATCTGTGGGCATGGCTGTTCCCTCTCTGTGTACATTATTATTTCCTGGGCAGTTAGTCCTCTTCTGGGTCAACTGTGGGCCTTTCTTGGAATTCCTTGGCGTCTTCACAGAGCCTTGGTGGAGACAAGATTCTCATCAGACTCTTGGGATCTGAGTGCTACTCCTGCCCGTAGGAGCCGCTGGACCAGCCCTGGGCCCATGAAATGACTCCAGGACACAGAGGTGTTGCTAGCTGACCAGCAGGGTCTTTTTCTCGTCATGAGGCAGCCAGCATTCTTTCTTGTAATCAGTGGGGCTTCTCAGACACACTTGAGAATCTCAGTTTAACTTTGGGCTGCATCCTGACCCTGGGTAATATCCAGGAGTAGCAGTATACACAGTCCAGGTGACACATTTCCTACCCCACAGCTGCCAGCACACAGCCTTAGCTAGAGGGAGGGTCTCAGTTCGTG